TGGATGGATGGATGATGGATGATGGATGGATGATGGATGGATGGATGGATAGATGGATAGATGGATAAATGGATGGATGGATGACAGATGGATGGGTGGATGAATGAATGGATGGATGGATGGATGGATGTAGTATTCATGGGGAAGAAGCTTTAGTAGGCCAAGGGAATCCTTGTACAGATAGGGCAGGAACCTGCAAGAAGAGGCACATAGGCATCTCATTTCCCAGTGGACTCAGTGATCTGCTGTACACCTTCCTGGGGAAAGGAACTGAGACCTGGACAGAGACAGCAGAGCAGAGTGGGAGGGGCAGATGAGCACAGAGTGTATGCCTACTGTTGGCACGGATGGCATGTATAAATTTTCAATGGGTTAAGCGGAGACCAAGAAAGGCAGAAGGCTTGAATTGTACCATTCCCGGGGGCTGCTCCTCAGGTGAGGGGACCTGCAGCCTGAGGATGTGCAGTGAACCACCAAGAGCAGAGGTGAGGAAGTTATGCCAGAGGTGACCCTCCTCATCAGGGAACCATATAGTTCAGAGGCCCCCAAAGCACAGTCCTAATAAGCCCCCATGTGCCCTATAAGAGGGCAGCCTACCATGCCGCCCACAGAGGACACCAGGACACCAGTGAAGGAAAAGAAAGGCATCGTCCCTTTCCTCAGCCCTCATCACAGACCCCAACTACAACCGGGGGGAGAGAAAGAGAAGGGCCAGTGAGTAAGCAGGTCGCGTGCCCCTTACATAGGGAGAAGGGTAGGAGATGGCCAGCTGGGCTGGATCTGAGCTCAAGGTTTAAAACTGAATGGGCCTGTGCTAGACTTGTTTATGACTAAGTGTGACCAGAAAGCCATGAGATCTGCCTAAGAAACCCTTAAGGAATGAAAAGGCAGATTTGCTAGCGCCTGCTTGAGAACCGTGAGAAGAGAAAATCAAACTGCTTCATATTTGTATCCCACTGAGTTCAGATGGCTCAATAAACCGCTAACAGTGGCTGTTATTAGTACTCTATAGTTCTTTGTTTAAAATTCTTTTTATAGCACTTTGAGCTCCAGGAAGGAAAGCTGTGAACCCAAATAAATATGACCACCCAGACGTTAAAGGAGGTGAGAAAAGGCCTAATGTTTCCTCCCAGAAGGCCAGAATTCTCAGTCAGGCTGCAAATAATCCTTCTCTAGGCCCGGCTCCGATGTGGCCCTTCCCGGAGGAAGGCCAAGCTTCTTCACGCCAGCGTGCAACCCGCACAGTAAATTAACTTCGACTGTCCACAGTGCTATCTTATTGGCTCCTGTTAAGCTGTTTTCTGTTCAGTTCCTCCCCGAGAACCAGCCTTCCTTGCCCAGTTTGTAGCAGAAGGGGGTGAGAACGGCATCCTACCCGCCCGCCTGGGGACTGAACCCCAAGGGGAGGGGGCTTCTAGCAGCCTCTATGTCTTGGCTCTGCAGCGAAATGGAAGGGTTCAGCATCCACGGCTGTCAGTCTGGCACCTTTCTGTCACCACGACTACATTCATTTTAAATTTAAGGAGTAAATTTTTAAAATGAAACCACCAAAAAGGATTTTTCTTACAATAAACACATCAATGCTCATTTTCCTTATTATTCTACTTTTGGCTATTTCGTATAAAATCTTTAATTAAAGTTTTTCTTTGAAATTGTCATTATCAACCCAGAAGAAAGAAAGAGGGAAAAAAAGAACAACACAGCTGTGCAGATATGAAGCGCTATTCAGGACTAAATGAACTGGAACGAAGTAAGTAGCTTGACTGTTATGTTCTTACTTTTGGCTCTGTATTCTCCATAGCACAGTCTAGCTTGTCACTTTATATCGATTCCATCTGTTTACACTCTGCAGAGTATTGGCTTCCTACCGTGAACATTTCCTATTTACCAGCTGGTAGAGATGAGCCAAACCAGATAGGAAAAAATTAGACTACATTCAAAACCCCATAAACACAAACTTTCAATTTGGGGACATGTGGGAGGAGCGGCGGCCGGGCATTGCTCACCTTTAACAAAGGCTTCGCCTCTGTGCCCGGGGCTGACGCCTCCTCTCACTGTTCTGGCATTCCCCCCACTGCCCCCTGCGGGCCCAGGACGATGCATGTAGTTATTGAATGCATGCAAATCCTGCCTTTACCATAAATTGAACAAGTTTACACAAAAAGACATCTAAATGAGATCCACGGGAACAGAGAAAAGGGAGCTAAAGAAAGAGCTAAATAAAGCAACCTAAAAGTCAGAGTTGCTACAAGGGAGCAAAAATCCGAAAACTCTGGCTCTGGGTTTCCTTGTAGCCAAGGTGAAGAGGGAAACTTGCTGTCATATGTGCCAGAGGCCATGTCAACCTTCTCCCACATTCGATTTCCATTTTCAAAAGGCTTACCTACAACATATAAAGACTTCCAATAAGAAATCTTAGCTGCCATTGAACTTCTGACCCAGCTATGAGAATAAGGCCTACATCTAAACACCGAGGGCTTTTAACATGTGCCAAATCTAGAAGCAGCATTTCCTGTACCTCCTTTCTTTCTAATCCAGCTCACACTCATAGGATGGGAGCTCCGCCCCAGGCACTACAGGAGGAACTCTGGGGCCCCTGTCACCCTGACCCCAGATCATGCACAGGACAGAGCTACATGCACCCCCTCCCAGGAACTCCATGGTATCCCCGAAACACCTGAGGTGCTTGACAAATGTAGGCTGTTCCTGCTGCTGAGTGACTTCCAAAGCCTAGTCTAGCTGTCCTCCCAGCCACTGTGTCCACGAGACTGCCAAGAGCCATCTCCAAAGCAGCCCCTTCCTCATGGGAAATTGGCACTGAACCACCACCACCCCCACCCCAGCCCCATGCTTTAGGGTTCACACCTGACCTTCAAATAATTCCATCTTTTTCTCCATCCTACCTTCCACAAATGTTCTGTCTCATCCTGCCTTGAGAAACAGAACTCTCCGCAGGATGGTCACAGAGCTTGTCTTGCCACTGCCCTGGCCACATCTCCCCGGCCCCCACCTCCACGTTCTCTTCTTGTGTCAGAGTGCAAACTTGACACCTACCCCACATCTCATCCTCTACTCTGTCCTCACCACACTGAAACCCCATCCACGGCCCAACTCCAGTGCGGGTCTCACCTGTCCCATGCAGTGTTTCCTGGCTACTCCAATTACGGTCAACTTTTCCTACAGAACCATTTGTTCATTCAGTAAATGTTTCCTGAGGTCATATCAAGTGCCAGGATCTGCTCAAGGCACTAAAGTTGTAACAGCAAGTAAGAGAAGGCACCTGCTCCCAGGGAACATGTATCCTAGTGATAAACAAGTAAACGAACAAAAATCTCAGAACATTCAGTGTCAGGGAAAATATGGAATTTTAGATAGGTCAGTCAAAAAAAAAATCTCCATGCTGAGCGCCATAAGCCAGGATGTGTGTCTGATGTTTACTCAGTGGGCCACCGAAAGCCACGGGGCATCTTCACCAGAGGAGTCTGATGAGATCTGACTTGTGTTTTGAACAGATAACTCCGGGTGTCGTGTGGAATAGAGATTGTATGGGGCACGAGGAGGAACAGGAAAAGCAGACCAGGGGTTCCTGACAAAGCACAGGGTTGGGATGACGGTGGCAGTGGGGATGAAGAGATGGATTGGTCCTGAAAACGGTACACGGGATGCAGCAGACGGGACTTGCTGATGGACTGGATGCTGGAGCGAGGCCAGTAAGGAAACACAGGAATCAAGGCTAATCCTAGGTTTCTGCGTGAATGACTCCATGACAATGGTGGAACCATTCACTCCAACACTGGGGTGACCAAGCGAAGAAGGCTGCTGCCCAGGGACGGTGAGGAGGACAGTGGTGAGTCTGGAGCCCAGACAGAGATGTAAGCGTGGAGGCCTTCAGCACGTGGCCCACTCTGTGGCCTTAAGCCAGAGGTGACCGCAAACTATCATTTCCCTGTCCATGGGACAACTCATGTCTTCTCTCCTCCAAATGCAAACTCCAACTCCTGCTTTTTTGAGTAACTTCTATGCCCCGGCACTCTGGTAAGATCGTTTTATATTGATTGTCACCAAGAATCTCAACAAGATTGGAAAAACCTTACACTATTCTTTGCCCATTTCATGGCCGAGGAAACAGGCCCCAAAGGGACTGGCTTGCTCAGGGGCACACACGCGGTGAGGGTTGGCGCTCGATGCACACCCAGCTGGGGAAGCCCAAGTGCTCCAGCCAGCCTCCCCTACGATTTTGACCGAACTACTGAACATGCAATAAGATTTTTAAAGAGAAGATAAACAGTCTGAAATGATACAAATTCTGATATAACTGAGTGTTTGCTTTAGCTTCCTGATGAAGCCTTTAGTAAATTAATAATAGAACAACCAAAAATAGGGCCTGGGGTAGAAGCATTTTCAATATAATTTTTTTCTAAAATGGCAACTGATTATTTTGTTATGTGAAATTCTCTAGATCAAAATGTAAGCACTCCTCTTCATTTAGTTGCACACAGACACGCGAGTAAGAGCTGTGACATTATTAATCACTATATTCAGTTATGATTGATAGGCTTTTCTGCAAGGAGGAAAAAGTGGCTCAGATACAATCTGTCCCAACAGCTCTACGATATGCTAATATTTTCTTCAGATGAAAGAGGAGATGTGTTCAAATACCTGCTATAATAGGCAATTAATACCAAGTGCACCAAAGTAGAGCTGATAAAAGTGGGATTAGGAGAATATTATAAATTAACCAAAAGCTTGTATGTTTTAGTAAATGGCCTCATTTTGAATTTGACACAGTCTTTTTATTAGGCAAAAAGACTGCATTCCGGTACATTCGTTCATGCTAATGTGGTGTTAGAATGTTAAGGTACGTTTATGAAATGGTTGCGATTCTAATGACTGTTTATTTCTCAAGCAATAATTTTTTAAATCTCTTTTTTAGGAAAATCCACCTATTTAAGAAAATGAATCTAAGCCATCACTTGTGTCTCTTCCGTGTGAAGACATTACAGACCATGTGAGCAGCTTAGTACCTCTCATTATTTACTAATTGCTTCTGAAATGACCAATGCTGCATCTATACAACTCCAAGGCACCAGGGTAATCCCATAAAAACTTGTGTCAGATCACTTGGTGTCCAACAGACACACTAGTCACGGCTGACTGGGTGGACCAGATGTTCCGACATCATGGTGCCCAGGCTTAAAAAAGCATCCCTGATTGGGGCGGTGACGTGGTACGAGAGCAAACAGCCTGGGGCTCTGGATGTGTCTATTTTTTTTCCTTTTTTTTTTATGTCTTTAACTGAATTTTACATTCTTGGATTCTTGTCTTCAGTTAAGAACAGTTCTTTTGTATGTAGGGGTGGCGGGGAAGGGTCATGGCTGTTCTACAAGTACACTGCGCTCTTACGTAGGTCAGTACAGCTTCTGGCCTCTCGGTAATTCCCTGCGCATGGCTCACAATGAGCGTTCACCCCACCTCAAGGAGCAGGATGAGCTTTTCTAGCACTTCCACCTTACCCTCGCATGGGGAGTTGACAAAAGACAAACCGAGTACCTAGACCAAAGCTTGGTGAGCCCAGCAACGCGTGGAGCTTTGTTTTGGTCCTTTTTTTCCTGGCAGATTCTCCACCTGAAGAACATGAAGAACCCAAG